TTTTCCTTGGAAAATGGAAAAAAATTTCAATTTCCATGCAAAAGAGGTGTTTGATGGGAGAAATTTGGTCAAGAAAAATTTTCACTCCCACCCCACGCGCCCTCTTTCCTTGTTTTTAGGGAAAAACTTTTTCCACCATTTTGGCAATGGAAACCTTTTTTTTTTATTTGCAATGAACATAAATTTCATAACTAGTTATAAATTTTTTTTCACTTTAATAGACAATTTTCATGTAAAATAAAGTCAAACGAATACTAAATTTTGACTTTTTTTTTTTACTTTTTGGCAATGGAAACAAATTTTATAATCAATTGTGAAAAAAATATCACTTTAATAGACAATTTCCATGTAAAACTAAACCAAACGAACACAAAAGTTAAAAATTTTCCACCCACAAAATTATACCAATCAAACACACTTAATTAACAATTTCATACAAAACATTTTTTAGGCAATTATTTTCCCTGGAATTTATTTTCTTTCGACTAATTTTCCCACCTCAAACCTTTAAAACTTATCTTCCACCCCCACCACATCCCACCTCAAACTAAACAAAAAACCTACAAAACTCTTCCCCTATTTCTATTTCTCTCTCAATGGAGCAATTTGATCATGACGTAGTGTTGTATGTAACTTAATAGAATTATGGTTGAACTGGTGGATTGAAGCAGAGTAGATTGGTCAATTAAAATGGGGGAGCTGTCGTTTGTTCGCGCGAGAAAGTGGGCAAACCGTGAATCTGAAATTGCGACGATTTTTGGAGCAATTTATGAAATTGGAATGTTACCCATTGTTGAAGGGACATGATTAAGACTCGACTGATGCCAATTTGTTGATTCAATGTCGCGTGAAACACGAATTGAAGCAGGCAAATTCGAGTTCACGACTGTCACATCTATTTGATCATCATTAGAACGAAATTGTGCATTATTAGTTGATGTTAGGTCATAATTCTGATCGTCTGGATGGGGGCTATCAATAGGTGGTAGTACTCGACCGTAGGCATCTTCGGAGATGGGTTTTCTGGCAGAAGAGGGGTGCACGACATTGGATTTTTGGGCTGCGATTTCTTCTGATTCTTGTTGTTTCATGGCTGGCTGTTGATTAGAGGTTGTAGAGGAGAGTGAGACTAGCTGTATCCATAACTTTTCAACAACACATTTCATCATCTTTTTTGGAAAAATAAATTTTGTAATGGTTATTTTTTGTAGAACATGTGATTAAAAATTGAAAAAATAAATAAATTTATGTGTAAAATTATTTTATTGGAAGGATATATATTTAAAAATGAGTTTGAAAAAAAAATATTAAAAATGAAGCTCAAATATGCTTGGCTTAAAAACTCTCGTATCCGAATTACTGAGTTATGTTAAAATTATTGGTCAAAAATGATCAGTATCACAACCAATTTTCAACTAGTGTCACTCGAAAAAATCTAAAGTTGCCTAGATCTAAAAAAAAGTCACAAATGGAGACCACAAAAAGGAAATTAAAGCGATTTGTTGTTACTTCCATCTGTCCAGTAGGTGTGACTTGAAAGATACTAAAAGATTCCATTATTAACATGATAATGACATATTTGTCCCTACTAGTCGATCGACAAGTTAAAATAATATAGCTTTACTTTAATAACTCCTCTAGAAGCCAGTGTTGACAAAACATCAAATTTCACCGTCAAAGTTACGTCTCTCACGCATACACTCTTTTAATTCGTTGTGAATTTTAGCCACCTTTTGATAAATTAGCAAACTTTGATTAAGCCCCCGTTTGTTGTAGATTTTTAATAGATTTTGATAAAAAATGGTGAAATGTGTGGTTGAAAAGTTGTGTATCCCATGAAATGTGTGGTTAAAATTAATTGTTGACTTTGACTTAAAATTAAAAGCAGATTTTAATAAAAAACAAGCATGGCCTAAAGCTATGTTTGGTTTAACTTTATTGAAATTATAAGTTAGTCAATATATTTTATTGTAAAAAAAAATTGTATTCACTTTTTAATCATATATTTGATGGAATTCATAACTCATAATATCACTAATACAAGCAAGGGTTAAAGTAATATTGTGTCTAACTAAAATTTTAATACAAATCAAAATCGAATTTTATTTAATTTTGATAAATTGACTAAAATAATGTAGAAATATCCATTGCTTAGGTTTTGCACTTTGCTCCTAGGAAACAATAAGACCTCGTTTGAGCTTCATTATTTGAACAAAAATTGATTTCGGAATAAAACTTTTTGAAAAATATATGATTAAAAAGTTATGAGAATTTTTTTTTATTTATGTGTAATATTATTTTATCGAGAAATGTAGAAAAAAAAAAGAATTAAAATTCAATTGTTTAATTATCGTTCGCTGTCCCCGAGGTCATACCAAAACCAGGAATATGGCCCACATAGAAAAGCAACCAATACAAGTATCCTATCCAATCCAATCTCCACCGTACGCGTCACATCAGAAAAAAAAAAATCCATCCACGAGCTCAAATCCTGTACTGCGCTCACAAAGTCGTACCATACGACGATTACGGGGTGTCTTTAATTAGAAGTCTAAATTCAGGGATTCCAATTGAGATTAATTCATTAAAATTTATGTGTCCAACTAATATTTTAAGGAATTTTAATGAAATCATTTAAAAAAAGAGAAATGATATTTGTACCGAGGGGGGACTACCAAATTGTGTCCCCCCTCTCACATGATTTGCGGGTCCCGCGCGCATTAAAAAATGCTGAGCTGAGGCCCCACCCCCTCGATGTGAAAGGGGGAACACCATTCTGTAATCCCCACTCGGTACACATAGCACGGTTCTTAGAAAAATATGTATCCTCAAAAGCTCATAAATTTATAAGTATTTCAATTATAGAGAAATTTTAAATGATTCATATGGATAGCTTAAAAATACATATAACAATCTCTTAGATAAATTCTAATTTTTATTTTTTTTAAATTTAGATATTCTCAACTGAGATTTTAATAAATTTTGATTAAATCCTTTAAAATTTAGTCACCCTTAATAATTTATGAATTTATAAGGACTTTATTGATAGAGGAAATCTCATTTGAGGGCACCCTAATAAAAGGAAAAAATGTACAATCCCTATACATTTTATAGGAGCAAGTTAATCCTCAACATTAGAATATCATCCCTTCTTTCGTACAATTGATTCTTAATATGTTCGAGCAATTTTATTCAAAATTCTTGTTAAAATTCAATTGATTGTAGTTCTCAAGATCAAAAAACCAAACGATTCTTCTACATGAACCAAAATTCAATTCAATTTTAAAATTGTATTTTTTTTTAAATTTTCAATTACACCGACCATTAATTTATATGACTTCAAATAAAACGATTCAAAATAATTTATGCTCACTTAAAAAATATAGATAGTGAATTAAACAATAGTTTAAGCCTTACAATTATTTTAATTATAAAAAGAAATCGAACAAAATTGAAGCATTTCATCCCCGTTTAGCTCAATTCCATCGATAAAATTTCTATTGATAATTGTTGTAGTTTGAACCCATGTTTGATAACCATACTTTACAAACTCTTTTATCTATATTCTCATTTTCAATCATACATTCACAAAATAAGATATTTTTCATGTAAATCGAAAATTTCTCCATACTATTTAACCACACATTTTCATTTAGCTCAATTATTATTATTTTTAAAAAAAGTATTATAAGCCCTTGTTTGAGTTTCATTATTTGAAAAAAAAAAAAAATTGATTTTGGAATAGTATTTTTGAAAAAATATACGATTATAAACTAATGAAATTTTGTTGATTTACGTGTAATATTATTTT